GCCAACGCAAGGGAGTTCGTGTGAGTCTCGCTAAAAGGATGTAAAACCCTTGTCTTCATGCCCGTCCTTCACACTTGCGCGTGAGCACAAGGTGCATCCAAAAAAAAACCATCACACTTGTCCTCCTACACGGATGACATCATGATATGGGTCCTCTGGTTTCAAAAGCACGTTTGGTCTTAGCATGCACTGCACTGCACTGCATGCCGCGCAGCTCGCTCCGCGCAGCTCGCTCCGCCGCAAGCTGGGCTTCCCCAGCATCTAGACGCTCCAGCTCCAACAGATCGTCCAAGCGGACGACGGAGACCTAAGGGAACGATGGGCACTGTCGATGCAACAGTTCATGGAAGATGGATCTGGTCAGTCTGTCAGTGGCGTGATGGTTTGTGCCACCTACTCTGAAATTCCATTGAGGTTGCCCTTGGGCTTCAAAGAGTGTTGGACAAGAAACTATGCAAGGGTACGGATACGGTGTACTTGGGGAAGACTTTAGTTGGACACCCTGCCAAATGGACATGAGCACCTGGCAATGGCGGCTTGTTGAGTTTTCGCAGCTCGGAAGCCGACCGTTTCCATGCGTCCCAGACTGTCGTGATGAACCAGCAGCTCCTGGATGCGGCGGTATCGCTCTGGGTGCCATGGTATCGTCTGCTGCCCCACACGGTCTTTCTGTAAAAAGCAAAGAACAAATACAAGGTCTCTCTCCGAACCCCGGAAGTAGTTGTGGTATGTTGTGGTGGTGGTTCGTAGATGGACGCTCCCACGTTTGTGTGCCATTGCTTGAAACAAATTGCAAAGGTAAGCTCTTTGCGATGTGGCATGAGGAAACGCTATACTAGCGATAGTGCGGATAGTGAGTTGAGGTGGCTAGGACTGGCCTTCTGAGGTATCTCTCCATTGTTTGGTATCGGTTTGGGTCTTGCTCGAGAAAAATAGCATGGTTTTCCAAAACGTATACCTAAAATTGTTAAAGTATGTACAGTTGAAGTATTGCTGGGTGTTAGCAATTTCCTGTAACAGGTATCGCTCGTCAGGGTTCCCCATCGCTACACACACAGCGATTCCCTTGTTCACATGCCGCAGCACACAGAATGCAAAACACTTCTGTAGCCAAGCAGAATCCAAGAATGGAACCAAGAACATCAAGGCTAACGGCTAACACAAACATGATTGTTTTGCTCAAGAACGTTGAGAAATGGCCACCTAATGAAAAGAGCATTTCATGGAAGCTACGAACGGGGCTCCTGGCCTTACTACGCACGGAGCGATCGGAGGCTAATTACTAGGGGCTCCTGGGAACAAGGTTCGCTACGAACGGAGCTACTAGGGCATCGCTAAGAAGCATTTGGTAGAACCTTGAGCGACTGACCGAGACCGTCTTCACTAACCTTGGTGATCGACACGACTCGTCCCGTCCGACTTCACGGCATCGACCACGAAGCTCTTGGACCTGGAGGGAGAGTGTCGGTGGGAGAGTCGGATGGGCCAAGAGGAGACGTCTTAACATGGATTTGGATTCTGGATGTATATTGGAACAAGATCATGTAGGGCCATGTAGGGATAGTAATCTTGTGTAATCCTAATTGCTCAATGTAGAGCTGGAGATCTGGTGGAATGGTTTCTAGTACCAGCAGTACAAGCAACTTGGAGCTGCTCACAGAAAACGACCACGGTCGAATCTCAAAGCACCTTTCCTCAGTGTGAATTAAAAATGGTTAAGCAAATTTCAGCATGTTTCAGAAGTTGATTGACAACATTGAAAACAACACTATATTAAGCAAATACACCATTCATTGATGAGTTAATGAGTGTCTACTTCCACGGTTTTCCACAAACACGTGTCAGTGTTGGTTTGGTGAATTGCTGTGACATATTGTTCTTTGTTGTTCTGTCTGCAGAAAAAGAGTACAAGGTCTTCCGGAGGATTACTGTTACCCTAGTGAGTTGGAAACAAAACACCAAAATTTTGATGGGGCATGTCACGGCATGTCACTACAGCAAGCCACAAAGGGATGGTTGCTGTTGACCAGCGGGGATGGCCCTATCCGGGAATGATGTCTGATAAGGCACTTGGGGCATGAGTCCGGCATCCCAAGTTGCGCATCATCAGAGGGAATTCTGCGGCGCAGCGTTGGCATCGAGTGTGCGGTTGTCAAATAATGCAACTTCTTCAGATTTCGAACGCAACAACCACCTCCAAAATCCAGAAGCATCACCTATACAGAACTCATCACGAATCAGAAGTGCACGGCCATGGATTAACAGCTTGGGTCTGCTACTCATCTGAGGACCGAGCGGGTTTCCAACGGCTGCCAATCCCGGCCTCAGGCCACTCGACCGTCTGTTTTAGAAAGTCTGCGTCGCCAAAGACATAGCCCTCTCTCTCTCTCTGGCGAGCATGGCTCGTCCCTGAGCCGTCTCACAAAGACCTGGCTGTTTAGTTCTCTTTCTTGTGTGTTCTACTACGAGCTTCACAAAAACCCGATATAACATGATATATATAACACCAAGCATTGGAGGATCCACCAGACCATGGTAGGTCAACATCCCGTATTAGACTTCTAGAGGAATCCGTTCATCTTCAGGGGTCAACCAGGGTCCCCCTGTTGAAAAACCCACAGTCACATCTAACATGGACCTTGAAAATGCATCCGTTTTGGTCTTGAAGCCCGTTGTGATGCATCTTCGTATGCTGGAAGTGATTGGAGGGCCCAGCTTCGTTAATTAGTGAGGCACGCTTGGTCCACAACACTGCAGAAAAACATCAAGCGACACTGCCTTCACCCGCAACAGTTGACACAACGGCCTTTCTTAGCCAGTGACATTGGCCGTAGTCGCTTCTCTGCCTTATTGCCTGGTGGCACAGAGTTGGCGAAGACCATGCCCAACAGCCCAACAGCTTGTCGTCTGGGTTGTTGGTAAAACCATGTCAATAAACCATTCATGGGAATTGGATTCATAGTGGGGCTGCTGTGTGGGCCCTTATTGAAGCCAAACAATGCAGGCCTTCTTCGCTACAACACATGTCATGTACTCATGCGCTGTCCTGTCAGAAATGCAATTGAATCATGAATCATTGGTCACAAACACAGCACACCTATATAGCCGGGACCTAGCTTCAGTCGATTGTCGAACGGACACTGCCATCCATTGGATAGCATTTGCCAATGTACGTATGTCCAATGTGTTAGCATCCAGGCCCAGGCTCTCCATGTATTCCGCGTGCCGTTGGTGAACAGTACAGCTCAAACTAAGGTACCCATGACGAAAAGGATAGCTTCCATGAGAGCAAACCTCCCAATCAGCCTGTTTTTTGCCACACAAACCTCGCCCTCCGCGTGAAAAGAAAAAACTCGCCCCCCCTTCAGACTCGCGCACCGAGGGCATAGTGATAGGTGAAGCAACTCAGAAGTCCGTTGATCGCACCTCGGCACGTCTACGTGAAGACTGGACCCGGAGGAGGCACAAAGGGCCCCAGTTGACAGGCACGGAGGGCCCCAGTTGGACCCAGTGATGCATCGCAACATCGGACAAAAGGTCCCAGACTCGTGTGGTCATGTCGGCCTGTTTCATGGCGACCGAAACGAATCAACGTTCTCCGAGCGACAATTGGCGGTCAGCACTTGATGAAGAACTCGAAAGGGCTCAAAGGCGTGGACCTCTTTCCGGTCCCAAGAAAAAGAGACATGCGAAGTGAACCGCCTGCTGCTGGTGTGGCCAGGTGTTCTGAATGTCACGTCCTATTGTTCCACCATACCTGTGGCGCGCCAGCATGGGCCAGCTATAAGAACATGTATTGTATAACAGCCTTTCCGAATTAAAAGGTTTGCTTTTTTGTGGGCCTATAGTTGCAGGCTCTGCTCGAACGTGAACCGGCAGCTCAGCTTGAGATCACGTGAGTCTTAGATACTCCACCATCTACAGCTTGCCATGGCCTCGGAACTCCAAGAATCACGACATCACTCCTAAATATCCAGGTGTCAAAATCAGGTGCAACACCATATAGAATCCATATATATATATATATAGAATGTTTATGATGTTTTATGGATAGGGTTGTCCCCTCCACTTCATGGAATGCACACCCCGATCCAAACAAAATATCCAGCTTCCTCTCCGATCTCGCCTGGCCATTGGGCCCAGCATGCCGTGACAAGGGTAAGGCAAATCCACCGATGTTCGCCTCGGCACGCAACCGGACACGTCGCACCGGACACGTCGCACCGGTGTCATCTCTGTGACCGGGCTGCTTCCAGCCCGGTGGGTCAGCGATCACGTCGACGGCATGGGCGAAAGGACATCTTCACCAAAAGCAGTGGATGTTTCCCTCTCTCAAAGTCCTCCACACTGCATAGTGCCGCACATGTTGAAAGTGCTTGGCTCGAAAAGAACACGAAGAAGTGTAGCTTTCATCAGCCCAAGCTAGGCTGATAAACCCCCTAAGATCCGTTTTGAGGTCCCATGAAAGTATGCTTTTGTACTGCACTTGGAGATGCAACCAACCCTATGACTATGACATACTATGACGAGTACTATAGATTAGGTGCTAGAACTATTTTTTGAGGATATGATGGAATATCATGATAATTCATGATATGACATGATTGTACTATTGTTTGCCCAACTCCCTTGCACCTTCAGAATCCCATCGTGCAGCAAGAGCGAAGGACTGCCCAAAGTCAAGTCCTGATCTACATGCTTCTTGGCTTAGATCTGTAAATCTACAGCAGTATACCGTATACCTAGATACCAGCACCCTCCGACAGGTCACCAATGTTTCGACCTGAGACAGGGTCCAACAACCCTCAACTAACAGCCTGGCCCTGTTCGGGTGCTGGTAGAATTATATAGACTATTCGGACTACTCCTTGGAATACTCATTAAGATGACATGGCCCCGAAAGGATGATCATCCGCAAACGAGAACGCCGGTGCTGGACTCCGAGTTCTCAGAGCCGTGACGAGAACGCCTGGTGGTTCGGGTGGTTCACGCCTTTTTGGTCAGCACGCCTCGTAGTCATCAGATCCATAAAAGCTTGGGGCTGAGGAGAAATAATAGGTCTGCTGGCTCCCATTTCGGCCATGCACCAGCTTGTGAGGCACTGCTTCCTCTCCTCCCTTGCTCGCACCATCGGGTCTTCGAGGTGCTAAGGGGTTCAAGTAGAAGGAGGTGCGATCCTCGTCCTTCGGCCGTTCCTTTCGTACCATGCTGCGATCCACGCCATCGTGTGGCGGGGTGGTCGGCAGTGGTGCATAGGGCACCGGGTTGCCGCGCTTGGAGGGTGGTGGCGGAGGGCGCGGAATGGGCCTTGAGTCCTCTGACTGCACCCGCCCACGATCGAAAGAGATCTGCAACACACCTGGGAAGCGACACTGAAACTGCAAGGTGCAACCGAGGCAAGAAACGCAAGGCACATCGGATAAGTGCAAATTCAGCTTCAAACCCTCTGGAACTCGACCACTCCGCATGACTGAAGTATCCAAGGCTGCGCACAGTGCTTGAATCTCTGCATCCCCTTCTCGGGTATGGCGTAAGCGGCACACGTACAAGCCGTGCCCCGCAGGGGCACCCGCGACTGGCTCGCCACTCTCAAATAAACCATCCGCCAATGCTCCATCCGTGTCCCCTGGATGGGGCATCTGAACATTTGGACACGACTCTAGCAAAACAAAGCGGTGACAACCGCTTAAGAATGACAAGTATAGGCTCATTCGGCCACTTGACCTTATACCGATTCATAATCCTCCCATCTTCTTCCCCGCCGTTGTTCTGACCAACAGATCTTAAACCAGCAACCACCGGACCGTCTCCGCCGTGTCTCCCTTGACCGTCGGACCGGACCGTCTCCTTGGATCCCCAGCTGCCACACGCACTGCGCGCGGTGAAAGATGGATCGGCTCACAGGGTCGGTCACCGACGCCTCGTCGCGGAAGTCCAGGATCCGGCGACGGGCGCTGTGAATGAAGCGGTCCTCACTGCTGCACAGCAGGCCGAAGCGCTTCAAGAATGCCAAGGTCCAGTGCTCCCCCAGGGTCACGATGTCTGCCTTTGAAAAAAGTGGCAAAGTGGGCTTCAGGAGAACTGATGATGGAAACAATGTAAATGACTTTCATGTTTCTGAATGAACCGTTTCTTCTTCAAACACAAGACTACTCAACTCCTATCCTGCTCCACACTCCGCTGGTACTTGGTGACCTCTTCCATGCTGGGCCGTCCACCGCGCTCTGCACTCCGCCGGGCAAACGTCTCGAGCGTCCGTGCTGTGTCTTCAAAGTGCTCCGAGAGCCGTCGCTCCATGCGGAGGCACTCGCCGGAGGGAGGCGCGGGGAACGCCTGGAAGAAGACCAAGGCATCGTGGACGTCGAACAAAGATTGAGGAGGAAACTCTTCTAATCTTCGGAGTGTCTCCTGAAGGCTGGGAGAATCTGGGAGATGGCATCAGCATAAATGTTTGAAGTAGTGAACCTTCAGCCCCTGGACACATCTAGAATCTAGATCAAATCACAAAGTTTCAAACCTGCCGGAATCGATCCATTCAATATGGATCCATCATGATCCATCCATTCCAATCACATGTGACTCTTTATACCTTCCTTAATGTGGACTCTTGATTAATGAACCCCCTATGTGAAGAGGACTTCCAATTCAAAGGGTTTATTCATCAAAAGTCTACCTTACCAAAGTCACCTGCTCACTTGCAAGTTCCTAGTGCTCGGTCTCCTTCAGAAGGGTGGGCAGAAACTGGTGCTGGTCACCCTTGGCGACGAAGCGTGCAAAGGCGAATGCCAACTGAGCGAGGTGTAACGTTTGACACTCCTGGCGGTTGAGGCGGAATCGACCAACTACACCAGCGCATGGGATCACACGTCTGAGCGTCTGCCAACACGACCACATCTACAGGCGTCTGTGGGACATTCTGACATCCCAGGTCTCCTCCAACAGGTCTCCTCTGTATGTATTGGGTTTCTGTGCTGAATAGTTGCCTGTGATGACCTCTTTGGAGGTTACTGAGATAGATGGTATATGTGTCTCAAAATTTGTTGGCCCAAATTGCAAGTTGTAGTTTGTGGAGTATTCGATGTCTGGATTTGAGCGGGGAGTTCTGAGAGAGGTACGAATAGGCGTTGTTTCTGTCTTGTGGACTACGTTCAAGCACGCCAAAGCAAAGCCCAGCGAGATCTGAAGGACAATTGTATGTATAAAGTGAACATACTGACTGACAAATACAGTCAGTTCTCTGAACATGCTGGACTTAGAGGTATGTGCTTTAGACCCATAGCTCAGCAGCACTTGTTGTGGTCCACCAAACCACCAAACCATAGGGCAACCCATGTCCCTGGGCAATTGGTCGGGCAACCCATGGATCTTCTCCAACCTCGACCATCTCCTGAATCTTCTCCACTGCCTTCCGCGCGCACGCGTCCAACCAGCGGGAGTAACGGAAGCCCACCATGGCCGCAGCCCAGGACGTATTCGCCAAGTTTTGGGTGTCGTGGTCCTTCACTTGGCCAAAATGGGAAGAGTAAAAAAACATATTTGGTTCCACATATTCACTTCTGAGGCCTATGTGAGCGCCCGCCATAGTAGAAGACTCTCCTGCCCAATCAATTCTGGAGACATCGGCAAAAGCCTTTGCTCTTCTTCGGCCCCGATCCTGATCATCTAGCAATCTAGCACAACCACCGTGTGGTATGAACCACTCCGGAAGTGGTTGCCATGAGGGTTGTAGACTTCAAGTTGCCAACGTTGCGATCCTGAACAATAGTTTTCCAGTCCTTAAGTTGCTAAGCCCCCCCCAGAAAATCAGTACTTAAATCTACAGAAAGAGAGTCCGACCGTCCTCGATGCGTGCGATGGAGGCATCCAATAAACGCTGAAAGAGCGGGTCATCCTTCAGTGCCAAGGTGGCATAGGCCCACATCATGTTGGACAAGCTTTGAGGATCCCAACTGTTGACCTGTCGAGGTCTCGCGATCTCAAACGGTTCGGTCTCGGATGCGGAGGATCCGCAGGATCCCAAACGCGACGTCTAAGACATAGACGTTGAAGAGGAGTACAAATCCCTAGCAACTAACGCAACAACATCTATATAACAACCACTTAACTGGTGAACTATCATCTTCCACATTCTTCCACAACCCCGGGTGGTTTGCCGTGTTAGGAACCGCAGGGACGCTTTCCGTTATTTTGTGCGTATTCCAGGCGCAGTTTTCCTTGCTTCCTCTCTGGTCTCCTGCTCCTGCCTCATCACCACGGCGGTCCACCTCTTCAGCAATGGCACGAAGAATCAAGTTGTCGCAAAGATCCATCGTGGCCAAGGCCCAAGAGAAGTTCGAGAGCTCCTGCCCGGATCAATTCTTACGCCCTATCAGATAGGACACATTTAGGACATGCAGTGGTCCACAGAATGCAACCGTAGATTAGAGACATGGAATGATTTTAACATAATCTAGAAACCCTCGTTCCAAAGAGTCAGGGTGGGAACAAGAATCTGAGGAAGAATTGCACAGGGGTGCAAGAATTACGGGTTCCCCTTCCGTGATGAGTCAAATCCAGCTAGTGCAGCACAGCTAGAAGGGGGGCCACGGGTTCCTTTGTTCCTTTCGACTCACCCTGAGGAAGTCCACATCAAGCTTGCCAACTGCCTCAGGCCTCATTCACCACAGGCAGTCGACGATTCCAGGTTGGGCCAGGAGAATGTACCAGGCAAACGACGCCATACTGGAGTATTGTCTGTATTCTGGTGCAACTTCAAGGACTCCGACTCAGACTCACGCAAAAAACTACACGTTAACCTCACCCTGTACGAGAATGGTGTCCGAACTTTTTAGCCCCAAGCAAACCATGTTGTTGAATGTCTCAAAGATGCCAAGAAAATGCCAAGAAAGATCTCATCTAATGATATTAATGGACACTTGTGATTCTTTACAATCTGACATCTACGTTCAAGCTGAGACATGGCCAAGGCAACAAACCAAATCTTCTGCGCCACCTTGGGTGCTAAACTGTTGAAGAAAGAACTCCTCCACCACCTCAGATGTAGACGATGTTTTGAAGGGCTCCCGCTGTAGGAATTCTTGATATTTCTTGATAGGAATCAGTTCAAGCTCGAAGTGTCATCAGCAACCCAAGATCAGGACCCACCCTGCATCACCAGGACCGCGCCCGGTGGTGTTTGGCGTGTGAAACACGTCTCTCGGCTCCTGAGGGATGAAATCACGGATTTTACGCGCCGCCTCCCGACCGACCGCCAGAACCATGTTGTCCTCGGAGCGGACTGGACGTTTCCGGAGCGGTGGGAAACCAGGGGAACGAGATGATATGGCAGCTGAAAGCCACAGAAAGAGACTTGGAACACCTGACCCCGACAGGTTAGAAGCATCCTACTGCTTTGCAGGGCACTTCAGGAACGTACTGAGACCTCGTCAGCACACGCCAATGTGACGCCGGCCAAGTGTCATGGCGGAAGCCCAAGGTGCTCAGGCCCCACACGAAGTTGGACATGTTCCTTGGGATGGCTGAAGAAGTGCGGCTGGACTTGCTTGGAGACGCTCACAAGCAAGTCCAATCTGCGTGCACCATGGGCAATCCACTATAGCTATATATATAAAGTGGAACAATAAATCTACGTGTCAGCAAACTGACGAGGCTGGAGGCTGGATCCTAATGTCATTCACCCAGCCTCAGCAGTCTGGAAGTCTTGGTGATGCTGCCATTCTTGCAGGATGCACATGGAAAGCTTGCCTGTATGTATGACGAACCGCTTCTAGCCTGCTCACCTTCCGAAGGACAACCCACCCCCTCACAAAACAGAACACTCATCTGGATGACACATTTTGAAGGCGTGGCAAGTCTTGAGCAAAGCAAAACGTCCAGAACAAAGTGCACTACCCCAGGTCCCCAGCTGGCTGGTGGTTTCAACTCTCTTGAGAAACAGTCAGTGTCAGTGGGATCAATCTTCCCAAGTAAAGGTTGAAAACCAAAGTCTCTGAAACCACCACCCAGCCACCACTGAGAAAAACACCTCGAACCAACACACAGCACCAGTTCCTGGTTGCGCTGGCTGCCATGGCTCTGGGGCGAGAAGTCCGCGAACTCGCACCGGGCGCGGACCACGGCGCGGAGCCATTCCGCTTCGCGGTGCTTCAGCGTGGCGAAGGCCCAGGTGCAAATGGAGATGTCCAAGGGGCAAAAGCGGTCGATGTCCTCCAGCCGCACCACAACAAAAGAACACACGTATGTTTATACGCCCGAGCACCACAGAGACCCACACAGAGTTCCCTCAAAATCACTGGTTTGTGGAAGAAGCTAGTCTTCTCAAAGGTCCATTTTCAGATTCCATGTTCATCTTCTTGGGTGCATCTGTAAATTGAAGAACCTCCTTTAAACAAATAAGCCAGCAGGACATGCACGGAAGCAGGAAGCAGGCATCTCACCATCCCTGAAACATGTGACGACATCGTCAGAACCCACACACCTAGACTAGGTGCAGCTGGGAAGGAGCTCCACATCTGCACGGATTCTACGACATGTTCTCCCTCAACTCAAGTCCGATTTTAGTATATAACTACTTCTCCAAACAGAACAGCCAGGTCTGGTCATGGCTTGAACCCCAACTCAAGGGACTTGAGCAAGCATAGGCGAAGCCATCTGTCATAAAGTATGCACTTCCTCATTCATGCTCCCGCAGCAGCCACACGGTGGCCGTGACCCTGGTCCTCGATCGCCCGGCAGGTCAAGGCCTAGGGAGTTGCATCGAACAGCTCCAACGGATGGTTGGCCAATGGATGTCTCCGGTGGAGATCCGGTGGAGATCCGGTGGATTCTTAGTCTGAGCCGATTCTTGTGAGCTTTGGCACACTCAATTCAAGTCCGCTTCTCAGGGCCAGTGGTGTATAGTGATGTGTTGTTTTTCTCTGATATGGACCTTGTTTTAAACAAATTCTAGCAAAAAGGAAGCGAAGGAAGGATACTTTAACTCGTTGTATAACATCATTGACTGCCAGCACCACCCAGTTTGGGTGGTTATTAGATGGAAAATAGATAGTCAGGAGTCAGGGGAGTCTATAAACCAACCTTTGGGTGGCGCTGGTGTAGATTGCGCGTTTCATTTAACATCTCGAAATAGTGTCCTTGTGCTTGGTGACCCCCTGGTGCAAAGACCGGGCCAAACACCAGCACCACCTCCTAGCCAAACACACACCTGGCTGATCCGCCAAACACACCGGACACACAGTGAAGCAAAACAGGAAGTAAAGTATGTAGCTCTTCCATGTTCTGCTTCTAAGTCGAGTCTAGCAGTTGATATGTATTATTGTTGTTTATTGTACGTCCCGAAAGCTGCTTGTAGGACCATAGCATCCCCAGTGAACAAATCATCCCAAGCTGCACGAAGCATCAGCGGCTCTTGTAGCTGCATGCGCGCACAGGCCCAAAGAGTGTTTGAGACGTGCTGTGGCTCAAACTCATGGATCCGCCGCTGGGTCTGGATGGAGACCATCTCCACCCATGCGCCTCCTCCACGATAGCCTGGGTTGGTCGCTGCGAGGCTGTGGCTGAAAACCCTCAAAAGCGAGGCCTAGCACCAAGTGGATGACCCGACTGGCCTCCTTGCCGATGATTTGCGGTCCAACAAGTGCAGCCCTCCTGGCCGCATCCCAGGCTGACTTGGAGCTGTACGGCACGAAGAACCCTCCGTCAAACAGCCAAACTTGCCCATCCCTTCTTCAACGAGGCTAGCGAGATAAAGTACCCAACGGAATCTTCCTGGCACCTTCCTGCACCGAGGACGTCTCCCCAGTTTCAGCATGACATGGGGGTTCCTGTTGCTGGATGCCTCCATCAAGAGTAGGTTCTTAAAATCAAGCGAAAAGCTTGTCACTTCCCAAACACTCCATATCGTGTTTGGGCTTGGGAGATCACATCTAATTAAGGGATATATAATATATAGTTAATTAATGTAGACTCTTGATGAAAAACACAAACGTATGAAAAGGATGTCCATTTCGGTGTTTGTTTCATCGTTTCATCGTTTGATCGTGATCTTCATCGACGGATGTTTCACCGAGAGATGGTTCCCGTCGTTTCATCTGTTGGATGGTTCGCGTCTAAGGGGGAAGGTATTTCCACGTTCGAGCCGCTGATCGCTCCCAGTCCATGCAGGGAGTTCGCAATCTGCCGAGAGCCAAAGAAGGGCAGCCGCGACTTAAAGCGCTCCAAGAGGAGATGAAACCGTGGATCCCGGAAGACATGTGCTGACACCTTGACCTCGGAGCAAAGCCAAGGACTCTGCGGGAAAAAATGCCTGGATCTTCCAAGGACGTGGCTACCAGCCCAATGTAGGTCAATGAGTCAATGACCCAAAGACTCCATGTCTGTCATGTATACCTACATTGACCCCTGAAACCAGCCCAATGGAGGTAAATATGCCATTCTCCATACATGGAGCCTCTGGGTTGTTGACAAAAGATGCGGTCAGGAGTGTCTCTTGAACCTGGACGTTGGAGAAACCATCCAACAGCCGATCCTGCCAAGTGCGACCATGGTCAGTTTCGTTTGATTGTATCATCCTGCACCACAAGAGCATATCGCTTCAAAGTAAAGAACTCTACCATGCACTTGGGAGACTTTGCCAAGTCGATGCAAAGCGGTGGAGATGACAATGGCACCCTCAAGTTCCTTGCTTGTTCAGAAGGCGCAAACAGAACCCCCAATGCACCCAAAAATGAGTCTACTTCTTACTACCCTGACTTCCATGTCAATGTGGAGAACAGCTGCGCAACAAACTTACAAACATCAAATTAAATCAAGCCAATCTGAAGCTATATACAATGAACAAAAGATGGGTTCCAAAGGCCAAGGTTCACGAACGGTGGACAGGATGGTCTCTACCTTGCCAAGCAAGACATGCGACAAAGAAGCTCAAAGTGTTTGTGGTAGGAGGGAACCAACCAGAAGTCCAGAAGCAACTAAAGCCCTCCAGCTCTTCCTGGTGCTACCACTTGGCCTTTCTTTCTCTGGTCATAATGAAATGGTCATATGACGACCCGTCGCCGAAAGGGTTTAAATGAGTGGAACAAACCCCTCACCCAAAACTGCCTGACCCTGGTTGACGGGCTTCGGGTAAATTGCGTCAGTAATCAGGGTTTTCTGCGACAGTACTTTGTTTCAGGGTTTTTTGCGACAGCTCTGGGGAAGGTGTTTATTGCAACAGTTCCACGGGTGTTTTTTCACACGGTGAGCCCGGAACCGGTGTTTTTGTGGACGTCTGCACGGTGTTGTTTGCTACGGTGGTGTTTTTTGCGTCAGTGAGCGGTGTTTTTTGCGACAGTGGGCAGCCCACAAATCGTCGGAGCGTACGCGAGGTGTTTTTTGCGACGGCGGTGTTTTTTGCATCAGTGAGCGGTGTTTTTTGCAACAGTGGTCAGCCCACAACTCGTCGGAGCGTACGTCTCGAGGTGTTTTTTGCGACGGCGGTGTTTTTTGCAGCCGTGAGGGGTGTTTTTTGCGACAGCTGTTGTTGCCTTGCAAGCAGCAACGCAGCAGCAAAGGCAGCACGCGGACCGGTCACAGCAGCAGCAGCAGCACCAGCAGCAGCGGCAGGAGCGGCATCAGCGGCAGCGGTAGCAGTAATGCAGCAGCAGCGGCGGCAGCACCGGCATCAGCCGCAGCGGTAGCAGCAACAGAGCACAGCAGCAGCAGCAGCAGCAGCCGCAGCAGCAGCAGCAGGCACCAGCAGCAGCAGCAGCACCGAGGCATCTAGCCGCTGCAACGACCGGCAATGGCAACCGGCAATCGCGACATACAGCTATACAAGAGACCAAGCAATAGCAGATGCAGCTGCAGGCCGACAAGCGCCGCTTAGCTTCCCGCGCAGTTGCGCGGTACTGAGCTTCTCCGCCACGGCAAGGCGGGCGCTAACGGGAGAAGAAAAACCGTGCGTATAGTTAGTTGGGCGCCGCACCCCGCCCCGACGCGGTAGGCGAGAAAGACCTGGCAGCGGTGACAGATCGTACAGTATGGCTACGCACTGCGAAGAAGTGTCGAATCGACGAGCAGAATCGGTAAAGCACAGCCAGTATGAAAAATGCAAAGTTTAACGTTTAATGACCAAAGAAACGAAAGAGCTGCGTTAGATAATGTTTGATGTCTCACCTTTTTCCATGGCAGCAAGAAAGTTTTGTTTGTGGCATCAGGAAGAAACGCGGCGGCGTTTGCGCGGGGGAAGGTTGGAAGCTTTCTTTCGCCCACCTTTCTTGTTGGCTGGCACTGTCGAAAGATTCAAAGCCGGAGACGAAAAGTTGGGAAGGCTGCAACTACGAAGAAATGTTGAATGTTCGCATTGTGCATGCATGGCGGCTGCCAGGCAAGAACATAGTATCGAAGTTGATTTGATTTTGAGATACACGATGCTTTCAAAATGGAACCGCAAAGACTCCAGGGAAAGGGTTCCATCAGCAGCGAAGAGGTCTGGCAAACTGTGCGCAGTCAAGGTTTCAGGGTGTAGAAGGACATGGAGAACTTTGCGCGCAACGCTGCAGTTCAGCGGGGATGTTCTGGCAGCGCTTGCAAATGCGACCCAAGAAAGATTGGCGCATGGGCGCAGGATGTACAAGGTATCACGAGGCAACTTGTTCAAATGGGCAGCGGGTGTACGTCCAGCACGAACCAAAGCTGTGCCATTGATGAGCTGCGGATCTTGACTTACTGGCGCAAAAGACAAAGATGAAGAGTCACCCCATTTGTACCAATCTTTCCAATGTTGCGTGTAGAGCTGCTGCAAGACTTGCAAGCCATGGTTGATGTTGCCACGCCCGCCGAGCTGACTGAGCTCGCGTTGCCAAGATGAATGCAAAGCTTCTGCGGGCTCGCTGCCGCTACCAGAACCGGAGATGATGCCGTCAAAGCCAATCCAGAAGCTGACGTAGACAATGTCATCTGGCAACATTTGGCAAGCAAATTGTGCCGGAAGAACACGTTCGTAACTCTTGAGGTAGTTGGCTAACTCTGGCTCGCCAAGGCTACCGAGCGTGGCTAGGAAAGCTTTCCACAGCCAGCTAAAGAGAGGCAAGGTAGGCGCCAGCCGCAGAATCTCAAGTGTATCCAAAGCAAACCCGAGGTTCTTTTTGATGTATTTTCCTTTGCGATGTGAATCACTTGCTTGCATTTGGCTTGCATAGTAGTCAAAGATTTTTGCTTCAGGTGGAAAAAATCATCACACGCTCGCGAGAGCGGTAGCACTTGCAGTCGAGCCTCCTCAATGCTGGGGTGGAAATCTTTGTGAATTTGGAGCGTTAGTTGTTCTTGGAGCGGCGAGCGGCGTGGTTGTCGAGAAGCCCATAGGTCACAGATCTTCTGGAAAAGGCGGATATAGTTCGGCTTTGTTTCGGCGTGAAACACGGCTTGCACTATGGGCAGTCCATGTGAAGTCCAAGCGCAGCTTTGGGTGCGACAACCACCAGGGCCTCTCGGCAAATGGGTTGGTCGCAAAGCGTCTTTCACAAGCAAGCTCAAAGTAGCCACGCCCATACCCCGGTCAAGTACTTTCATCTTGGTGTCGACCGCAAGAGCAACATCAGGACCGTCGTAGCGGCCGAGGGCTTCCAGCATACCCGGGCACGCAAAGAGAACGCACACTTCCGAATCGCTGATGAGTGGCTGTTCCAATAGAAACATTGAATCTAATTGCTTGGGCGGGCTCTGGGGTAGCTTGTTGACTTCCAACTGAACAGCTTCGACGATGTGTAGGTCGCAATCCAAAGCCGGCTTTCTGCGTTTCCTCATGTTTTTCAGCCAGTTGGAGAGCTGCGTGTTGGTGGGCAAAGACGATTCAGCACAGCCACCAGCTAGCAGCGCAGCCCGTAAGTTTTTGCCAGTGCGCCCACCTTTATCAAAGAATTGCACTGCCAGAGTTTCCTGTTTTGCATTAAAGACTTTCCCAGTAGCAGCAAGACATGCCTCATGTCCAGAATGAGCACCACTGCATTGTAGAATGAGCGTGCCTGGCTGGTAGATAGCTGCAGCTAGTATATAGTGCGCGCGCCAGCGGCACGGGCACGCAGCACTCTCTAAGCACCGGACTTCAGCTTGGACTCGTTGCTTATTCTGCCAAGCAATGCGGACAGAGACGCGGCATGTACTCCATTCGCCTCTGTGCCGCAGATGATGCAGAAGGTCTTTGTTTGACAGCAAGGGAGTCCCCAAATCCACCCGTGCCACGTCTTCCCACACTAACTGATCCTTGCTCTGCTTTCGGCTAGGTTTCGTTTTCGGAAGGGCAGCTGTAGGAGGCTCCGAAGAAACATCTGTTGCTGTCTTGGCTTCCTCGGCTGCAGCGTTGGGTGTCTGTGGATGGTCACGAGGCGGAAAGGCAACATTGATGTCAGAATGGCCAGGGAACCTTCCGAGAAACGCATCGTGGTCGACTGTTGTCCGCAATCCAAAATGGGATAGAGGAACCCGGTGATTTCGAAGCCAAGTCAGACAACGCTGGCTCAAAGATTGGATGTGATACTTTTGCATGTAGCCTGCAACTCCAGTGGCACAAATTTCTCCAATACCGAGGTCTTTGAGGTGCTGCCAAATGGTTGCAATCTTCAATTCAGCAAGCTTCGCACCAGCATCGCCACCTCTTTCAAGTGAGCGTTTGAGCGCCAGGTCTGCGCAAAAAATGTGATCAGCAGTGATGAAGGCACCAGGCGCGCCACGAAGAATGCGAAGCAACAGTGGCAAGAGATCTGACGAATCGAGAGAGTCGCTGCGTGGGTTCCAAATCTGTTCCTTCGCTGAAACTGCAAGAACAGCCTGGCCATAGAGGTAGCGTTTCTGAATGAATTGCACCGACGCAAGGAAGCAAGCATCATTCACATACATGGGCACATCATCAGGTAAAGGACCGCCTAAGGCAGCTGGCCACAAATGCTGCACAAGATGGTTAGTCATCATGCTTGTGCCTAGCCAATACATGGCTTTGGGCATAGCTTCTCGCAACACTGAAGAAACAGAATCTTTTCTTGCAAACAGACGGCCAATCTCTTCTAACTCCACAAGAACAGCACGTTGGCACCCAGTTGTATGGAAGACCGCTTGCTCCACAGAAGTCATACGCGGACCAAATCTGCGAATCAAAGCAGCAAAGAGTCGCTCAATGACGGGCATCGCGATGTCCTGCGAGAAGGCATTCCAAGTTTGCTTGCCTACATTCAGACGGGCGCCGAAAGAAAATAGACATCGCTGAACAAGGCCAAGGGGTTTGTTTGCTGCGACCAAAGCCCACCAATTTGCAAAGAACATCTGCTGCTGCAAGAAAATGAAGTGTACATTTGTTTCCTTCAATGTCATTCCGACAGGTTCAGGCACGGGCGCTGCCGGGTTGGTAGGCTTCGGCTTCAGGACTTTTTGGCGGTCAATTTGTGTGCTAAAGCTGAAACTGCCCCCATGGGCTGCATTCAGGAAAAGCTGCAAGTCTATGAAGCGTGATGGGTCTGTGCTGCCACCATTGGCAAATGCAGGGCAAAGGCAAGCTCCTGCTTCATCAGTGTGCACTGTTAGATAACCTTCACATAGGCGCAATTTCTCGCGGGCAGCAGCGGCAGTGCTGGCCTCAGGTTCTGCACAAGGGAAGAGCGAGGTGGAAGCAACAAGAACGGAAAGATTAGGGGCAGATGTAACCGCAACCGTACAAAAGTTTGAATAATGTATTTAATTTGTGACGATGGTACATGATCGTGAGATACTATGAGGAACGATTGCAGGTTCCAGTACGGGAGGTTGCTTTTGGAGGATTTCTATAGGGACGGGCATGGAGGCGCTTGCTTCAAGAGGATGGGACCATTATGTAGTTTTGAATGGTAGATAATGGTGGCTTCGACCCAGCCTGCTGCAAATGAAAT